TATTCCTCATTCTATCCATCCATCCATTCCTATTGGTTCAGTTTCTCTAGAGAATCCTGATTAAAACATGGTGCTGGTTTGGATAAGTGTTCCCAAAAGGCCGTGTGCTAAAGGTTTGGTCCTCAGGGTAGTACTATTGGGAGGTGATGGAAACTTTGAGAGGTGTGGCCTAGTGGGAAGTCCTCAGGTCACAGAGGTGTGCCCTTGAAGGGTATTATGAGGATCCAGTCCCATTTCCTTTTTTCTTTGCTTCCTGGCTTGTAAAATAAGTTTTTTCTGCCATGTATTTCTGCCATATTGTGCTGCTGCTATGGGCTGCTCACATCAGCCCCTATGAGCAGTTTAAGGTTTTCCTTGTATCTTTCTCAGAGTCACCAAGTTTCATAGATGTTATTGTTGAGGTGAGCCTCAATCCACCAATGAATCACCTGCAGGAAGAGAGCTAATTCTATTCATTGTAGCAGATTAAAGATGGCCACAGGTCCTTTGCTACTTCTCCCATTGAGATGAAGGGGAGCCCTTGGATCTGGGGAGCTCTGGCTGGTTGATCAAGAAAAATTGGTGGAAGTGATGCTGTGCCAGTCTTTAGCCCAGGCTCGAAAAGCAACTTCCACCTCTTGTTCTTTGGGCCATCCTCTGGGAGCCTGAGTTGCCATGTAAGAAGTTTGAATTTTCTGAAATTGCCATGCTGGAGTGGCCACATGCAGCACTCTGGCAAACCACTTAGTAGAATCTGGTTGTCCTCAAAAAAGTGACAAAAAATGAAAGAGAAGTTGTCTTATACTTAGACCAGGCATCTGCCTGCTGATGCCATGGAGTGACCCCACAGATTGTGCCATTTCCATTACAGCCAGCCCTGCGTAAGAAAGTCTGTTTCTCTTCGGCCTCATTCATACTCTGTGATGTCAAACTTTTGGATTCTTATCAACCAGCAAAAGACTTCAGTGCATTTAGCATAGATGCACTTAGATTAATTCTCCCTCCTGCATTTCTTATAGAATATCCTCAGTCTTTCCTTCTATGTCAGATACTTTAATTAGCTTCTAATCATACAGGGTGCCATTTTGATATTCCCTTTATTGTCATCACAGCATGAAAGGTTTCTGCCAGGGTAGGTAGGTTGAGTGACTGTGGTTCCCTATTAGTTATTATAATAAAATCAACAGATCCTTGTGGCTTGAGTTGTTTTAGATGAGATCAGCTTTGGTTTAAAGGCTCATCTTGTTATTCTTTGTATTATTCTTTGTTTCTGTTATGAAGATTCTTTTACAAATATTCTTTTGTATTTATTTAATGTTTATTAACAAATTATTTTGTTTCCAGAAAGCCTGAGCCTTCCTGAACAGAAATGGAAATATGAAAAGAAAGAGAAGCTGGGTGTGAGGGCAAATGCCTTGTAGTCCCAGTCACTCAGGAGGCAAGTTCAAGGCAATTTAGGGAGACCCTGTCTCTAATAAAATAAATAAACAAACAAACAAACAAATGAATGAATAAAAAAGGCTGGGGATGTAGAGAGTACCCCTGAATTTAATCCCTAGTGCTGAAAAAAGAAAAGAAATAAAGAACAGAAGACCTTTATCACAGCCATGTCTTCGCAGTTCTCCTCAAGTAGGCTGTCTGTTGTGCTATTTAGAATATGCTGTGAGGTCTTCTGCTGCTATATTTGAATACTACAAATTGGGTAATTTACAAGAGGAATTTGTTTTACAGTTCTGGAGGCTGGGGAGTCCAATGTTGAAGGGCACATCTGCTGAGAGACTTCTTGCTGGCAGGGACTCTCATCGGAGTCCAGAGGCAAAGCAGGGCACTTGGTGCTGAGAAGAACAAGGCAACTAGAAAAAGCTCACTTGTATAGAAAAGCTACTCCTGTGATATCCCATTAATCCTTTAACCCAGAGCTGAGCCCTTACCATCTAACCACCTCCCAGGCTTCTTGGGCTTCAGGTACCCAGGTGTCTTTTTTGGCACCATCATCCTAGTGTAAGTCCTCCCATCTTCAGAGTGATCACTTGGTCCAAAATGGCTTTGGAGCTCCTCTCCACTCCAGTCCAATTTGAGTCCATGATATTCTCATTGTTAAGGTCCCGAGGTCTTCTGAAGGCATGGATTTCTCTGCATGCTCACACATTTGAGTGTAGGAATATTTGTGGATTCTGGAGTCCATGTGTGGGTTGGTGATACAGTTCAGTGGTATTGCACTTGCCTGGAGTCCAGGTATGGGGATACAGCTTCCTGAGGGGCCCCAGGAACAACTGTTCACCTCTGAGGCCATACCAGCCCTTGAGTTGCCTCCTGCTGAGGAATGTCTCAGCCCCATGAAGGATCCACCTACCTCACCTGATTTCCAGTCCAGGACACTCTTTCTCCCTAGCTGCCTTCAAAGGTCCTGGGCTGCTCGAGACACTCCCCAATACACCTGCAATCCTCTCAAGGAACTCCAGCCTCCAGCAAATAAAAGTCTGAAAAGGAAATTTGTCTGAAAGGAACCTCTGAGCTCATGGTTCCTTGAACAGAGAGAATCCAAAGTCCTTTGTCTAGGCTTGGAAGTGGAGAGTGGTATGCAAAGACAGAGGAAAGCAGGGTTAGGTGAGGAAAAACCAGGAAAAATAAAACACAAATTAATTTTATAATAAGTGATCCTGTTACAATGGGGGAAATATTTTACTGCTTATTGCTCCACTAAAAACTCTGGAGACGGGCTGCCAAGAAAATAGGTTTATTCAAAAGGCAGCTTTGAGGAAGACAGATGAGAACTTTTTGTTTCAAATCTCCATCTTCAGGGGACTCAGGGGTGTGGAAATCTTTTATAAGAGAGGAGGCAACGTGGGATGAAATGCAGGAAATATACATATGAAGATTTAGTTAGCCCCAGAACATGTACATCTGTGCTTCCTTGGTGTCTGTCCCCGGCATGAGGCTTTTATTCTTAGTGTGAGGAAGCTCAGAAGTTAAAATAATTTGGAACTTTTAATTTCAAAGGAGGTCTGCTTCAAATCCTATTTAGTTCATTCCTAATCTTAGGGAATTGGGGCTCCATGTCATGTGGATGGTAGTTTATTATTGTTGGATCAGTATATAGATCCCAATGAGGGAACTGGAATATGAGTCAGATATTTATTTCTGAAGGAGGCAAAATCAGAAACACTTGATAGCTCTGCCTAGGGGAGAATTTAGTGTTAGATTGCATAAGAACTCATTTTCTAGGACTTCCCACTATTTTTGGTGGAATTTGACAAGGGACTCCACATGATTTTCCCCTGACTCTGAAGGATTTCCCATGAAGACATTGCTGATTATTTGCCAAGCACCTTGTTCCCATGAAACTGGAGCCTTGTCCTGATTTTTTTAAATATATATTTTTAGTTGTAGATGGACACAATACTTTTATTTTGTTTATTTATTTTTATTGGTGCTGAGGATCGAACCCAGTGCCTTACACGTGCCAGGTGAGTGCTCTACTGCTAAGTCCCAGCCCCAGCTCCATTGCCTGATTTTTGATATGATTGGTCCCAGGTTTGGAGGGAAAGTGACAGGTTAGGAGTCAGTATCAGAAGACCCCTTTTTAGACTATTTTAACCAACAGAAGTTTTGGGAAATATTAGTTCTTAGGCCAAAAGCAAACAAAAACAAAAAACAAACAAAAAACATCAACAAGAGTAGAACAATCCAGTCTGCATAATAGATTTGCATTGTAGGTGCTGGGTATTGCACCTAGAGGTGATTTACAACTGAGCTACATCCACAGCAGAGGATTTTGTTGTGCAGAGGATTGTACCCAGGGTCTCATATATGCTAGGCAAGTGGTCTACCACTGAGTCACAAAACAGCACCACAACTTTTTTTTTTTTCAAAACAGTCTCCTCTTTTTATTTTTTATTTTGACACAGGACTAAGTTGCCCAGGTTGGCCTCTAACTTGTGATCCTTCTACTTCAGCCTCCCCAGTCTCTGGGATTATAGACGTGTGCTACCACATTTGGCCAGTTGCATAATAGAGTTAAGCTAATAACCATAATCTCTTTAATTCTATCTAGTATATATTTATATAATCAAAGAAAATCAACTTGCTGTAAAGGTAGTCCTGTCACATTTCACTAAGAAGAGTACTTGTTAGCATCTGGGTACTCTGGGTAGAAAGTTCAACATATTTTATAATATCTTTAGATACATTTTTCAGAACAGTAAAAATTTTGAACACAAGTTATAAGAACATGTATATACACTTAAGTGTATTTTGTGAACTAAGTCACAGTGTAAACAGCACAACTTTAAAACAAAGGTTTAAAGACCTTATAGCCACTTTTGCCTGTAGGGTGCAGCATACCTGTAATCCCAGAGACTCTGGAAGCTGAGCAGGAGGATCACAGTATGAGGCCAGCCTCAGAAATTTAGTGAGAGCCTTATCAATTTAATAAGATTATGGTCTTAAAATAAAAAATAAAAAAGGACTGGGGATGTAACTCAGTGGCAGAGTGCTCCTAGGTTCAATCTCAGTACCCCTTCCCCAAATAACAAAAACAAAAAAACAAAACAAAACAAAACAAAAAAACAGTCTTACACATCTCCTATGCCAAAATCTTAACCTTAAATTTGTTTTAAGATGAAGGGTGAATAAAGAGGGATTATTCCTTATAACACTATAGAGACATGGCTCATGATATCTCATATGACTATAAATAGTATATTCTTTATTTATACTTAGATAACTTAGAAATTTATATTTAGATAGCTTAGAAATTTAGCAAAACGACTTAGTTATCTCTATAATATGTTAACAATCATAATTTACAGCATTAAATCCAGGCTATCAGATTTTTAAAGTGTTAGAATATTTATATTAATAAAATATCATATATTGTAAAAATAGTAGTTTAACCAAAATTATACACCAAAAAGAAGCTTTAGAACAGATAAAGATTTGAATAAACTCTCTTATAGGACTCAATTTTATCTTAAGCAATCAAAAACCTAATAAAATCAGCAGAAAACAAGGGAAATTACCTTCCCCCCTTTTTTAATTTTCTGCAAATTTCTTCAATGTCTCAATTAATAGAAGAAAAATAGCATCTCAAATCTTCTGCATGTAATTTGTTTCCATATGTTGCTTTGGTTGAGTATATAGACAAAACCTTTGCTCACACAGATGTATAGTTGAAAAGGGGAGGAGTACTTTAGTATCCTTTTCAGCAAATAGTATATATTCTTCTCTGATACCTCCTCAAAATAAGTAGTAGCTTCTTTAGATTAATTGCAAGGTGGAATCTGAGACCATATTACTGAACTTCTGGTGCTTTTACATTAAAATCCATTTGTCTTTCTTGTACTTTGAATGGTGGTTTCATGCAAGATTCTGTAACATCATGCATCAGTTATTGATTCTGAAGAGAACTCCCAGCAATATAGTCTCTAGAATTGAACAAAACATAGTATTGATCCCAGCTCCATTCCAGAAACACCTCTTCAAACTGGAAGGGGAAAATGATGGTGAAAACGATCTCCACGAAACAGACTTACAGCTCACACCTGCGGGACTGGCAGGTATAGATCTGTCTTTGTAAGAGCTTGACAGCATCATCTGGGGCTAGGCTCAGGTCATAGCTTCCTGCTGCCATGCATTTGAGCTCTGGAACCCATTGCCCTTTGGGCTCCATGCCTGAACCACAATTCCTGAAGCCAGGAGGCCACCAACGTAGGAGATTATCTTGATAAAACATAAAATAGAGCAATTATTGTCAAACTGTTGGATCTTAACTATAGAAGCACTTTTAAAAGTTACTTTAAATTTTTCTAATTTAAGATTTAATAAAAGCGTCAAAATGTTATTATTCTATGTCTTCGGTAATTAAAAGTAGAGAAAATAAAAGATTTTAAATAATAAAAAACTGGACATGGTGGTTGAGACCTGTAATCCCAGCAACTCAAGAGTCTGAGGTAGGGGGATTCCAAATTCCAGGCCAGCCTTAACAATTTAGCTAGGCCCCAAGAACTCAGAGAAACCCTGTCTCAAAATAAAAAAAAAAGGGGGGGGGGATGTGGCTCAGTGGCTAAGTGCCCCTGGGTTTAATCCCTGGTACCATAAACAAATAAACAAACAAATGAATAAATAAATAAATAAATAGGGCTCAGGATATATAGTTCAGTGATAGTGAGATAGGGACCTCAATCAAGAGGGTACAAGAAAAATGCTGTCTGGAGTAAAAGCCAAGGAGATGAGTCATATTGTACCTATTTATGATAAATTCCATTACTATAGCAACTCCTGCCACAAGTTCTGTATTCTAATTAGGTACAAATAATCAATTGGGTGGGGGCTGGGGTTATGGCTCAGTGGTAGTGTGCTTTCCTAGCACATATGAGGCACGGGGTTCAATTCTCAGCACCACATAAAAATATAAAGATATCTGGTCCATCTACAACTAAAAATATTAAAAAACATGTCAATAGGAACAAATAGGGCAAGGTCTTCAATTAGATCTGTGGGGAGGGGAGTGAGGCACAGCTTAGCACATAAGACAAGACTTGCCCAGGCATTGGGCCTTGAGCTACTCTCTCCTTGGCCCACTCTGCTCTACTTTAGAAGTATACTTTCATTTTCAACAAATCTGTGCTTTGCCTATTCTGCATGTCTTGCTCAATTCTTTGTCTGAAATGCCAAGAACCTGGACCCCAACAGAATCATTTAGGGAGCCAGCTTCAAGGTAAGCACTCCCTCCTTTGGGGTGTTCCCCATTGTATTCACCTAAGCCTACTTCCCTTTTCTATCAGGTTCTCTGACAGTACCACATTCAGACTGAGGAGCAACTGATGCTTCCCAGGGCATCCTCAGGATGAGCACAAGAGCACCTCCATTTGAGTGTTGAGAACTCTGTAGCCCAAATGAGTGGAAACCCTGTAACTTTGCCAGACTTTCTGGCACTTAGTCTCCCTGCCATGTACTTGTGCTGGGTTCCTGGAGATCGCTAGATTTTTCTCTGTTTTCATTTTAATGCAAACTGCCTTCTTCCTTCTGATCACAATTTCTTTGGCTGTAGACAATGAGACACCTTTGGCCCTTGGCTACACTCTCAGTGGCACAGGTTGGGCAGTTAAATGCTATTAGGGTGCCCCTTGCTTGAAGACTCCCATGACAGGATAATGCCATTGTGAGCCACAGATAAATTTAGTCTGTGCCAGAGTCAAGAGAAAGCTCACCATCACAGGCACACAGTAAAGTGATCCACTTACCCCAACTTTGTGGTCACCCAAAGGAAATAGCTCAGCCAAGACTAATCACTTCAAAAACCTTTCTATCTCTATTGTGGGCGTTAAACCCAGCCTTATGACTCCTTACTTTTCTTTCTTTCTTTCTTTTTTTTTTTTGGCACAAGGGATTGAACCCAGTGGGCACTTAACCACTGAGCCACATCCCCAGCCCTTTTTATATTTTATTTTGAGACAAGATCTCACTAAGTTTTTAGGGTTTCACTAAATTGCTGAGGCTGGCCTTGAACTTGCATTCCTTCTACTTCAGCTTCCGAGCTACTGGGAATACAGGCATGCATATCTGCTCCTGGCTACTTTTCTTTATTAGTCTCTTAGAGGCCTTTGTGCCGAGGTTGCCAATTCCTCCTCTTCTGAAGTGTTCTTGGTACCTCCATCTGTAGACAAAATGTCCTTTTTGCACCAATCATTACCCTCAACCCTCATGGGGAAGTTGGGGTCTATTGGTTCTGGTGGTTTTCCCTGCCTTGGAGCATAAGCCAGACCTGGAGGATGTGTGGAGTTCCTTTTATCATTTAGATATGGGGAGGGAACGGAAATAGATTAGGCCTCTGGAATGAGGTTAATCAGTGCCTGGATGATAATCAGTGCCTGGGTGCTCCTTAGCCTCTTGGGTAGTTAGGCCAAATTTCATTGGATTTATGAAAACAGTTAAAGGATGATCAAAGTTGGGTACTACATTTAGGAGTCCCATGAATTATTCTTGGCTACTGCCCTTGGAGAAAGCTTTACCTTATCCCAACATTAAAAAGGTGTCTCCAAAAGCAAACTTAGACTTAATTGTCCTAGGGCCTTTGAGTTGGCTTCTTATCCCTTGCCCCAACCCTAGGCTTCACCTCTATTTTGCAATCAATTCTTTGCTGCCAGGCCAGTCCACAAAGGCATTCATCTTCTTGATAAGACTTAGCAGTCGGAAGAGACTTATGGGATTAGAGAAAGAATATGCTCTGGGGAACTAAGTCTAAGTACAGTGGCACTGGTGCCCACTCTAAGAGCCAGGGATGTCTGGTCACCTAAGCTAAGATCCCTGGCGGATGGCCCAGGGATAGTGTAAATCAGAGACAGCTCATTCCTTGGAAGGATGAGTTGGATGGAATTTGGAATTTAGTCCTAAAATTCTTAAGGTCCTTCTTTTACAGACAACCATGGGAGGAAGAACTACCTCGGTACCCCAGGAGTCCTTGTTGGCTGTATTCTGTGCTACTGGGACTGCTTCAATCTTGAAAAACCTGAGAAGGAGCTGCTTCATTTTCTATTGCAATACTGCTTGACCCCATAGCTGCTTAAGGTAGGAGACTCAGAAAATGGCCTGTTAATGGTAGCCGAAATTTTAATGCTGTCCTTGAATCTATTTTGCAAAAGACAAGGCAAATGGATCAGAAATCTCATGCATCCAAGCTTTCATGGTCTTTATACAAAAACCCATTATTATACAAAGACAAAAATCCATCAGTCCCCAGAGAAGCCTCTGCTCCTGCCTCTGATCTCAAACAACCCTCTACTGAGTTGTATCCCTTCTTTTGGGGAACACTAACAATCCCCCCCATATCACTTACCAGAGGAAATAATAATACCAACCCCCTCCTTGTCCAAACATTCTGAGCCCACAACCTACTTGTGGTGGGGCCTGGACCCTCTCTTCTCACCAAAACTATCATAAGTCCAAATTACCCTGGCAACAAAATATCAAGACCTTCACAAAGAAAGCTTGCTGAGGGCTATTCAAAGGGTCATAAACTGACTAAGGGAGCAGAAAATGGAGGCAAAAACGGGGGGGACTCAATTTTCTTAAATATTTAACTTTTGGAGGTGGTCCATGCAGTTCCTACCAGTCAGTCAAAAGCCAAGAGTTGGACCTGAGCAGGACTCTCTGGAACTGCAGGGCAGGAAAGGCACGCCATTCTTCTCCTCTCTGAGAGGACCCGCTCTCCCCCTTGAAGGCGACCCCTTTTCCCTATACCTTCTAATAAACTCATGCCTAATACTCTGAGGGACATGTCTGAGGTCTTTCTGACATGATTTCAAGAACTGGGGTTTGTTGGGGGTCTCTACGCTGCTTCAGTTCACGAAGTCCCATGCCCTGTCACATTTGTTGTTTCTACCCAGTTATACTCAGTTTCCTAACTCTGTTTCTGATTACTTTCTTCATTCAGTCTTTTCTGAACTTCCATTCTTCATCTCAGATTCTTGGTGACTAGAGGAAAAGTCTTGAAATAATTGATGGTTAGATTAGAGCACACTCTAGTAAAAAACTTAATATCTCTTGATTGAAACTCAGATACCACAGCCCTTAGGGATAAGAATTGAGGCTTTTGTCCTTGATCTTCTTGGGGGAAAAAATGTTGCCTGATAGCAATTGAAAGATTCTTGGCAAGGGTAAAACATTCTTGTAGAACCCGAAGGTCAGTGATTATGAGATTTTGAACCCCAATGCCCAGTAGGATAAAGAGTCCTCTTTCTCATCCTCTTCTTCTCTCATCTTTGTCTCTGGACCAATAGAACTTCATGGGACCTGGACCTCATTCAAGGCTCAAATCAGTGGGAACTGTAATTCACACCTAAGGTAAAGAAGTACCCTCCCCATCTCTGGGTCAGGATGCCCTATTCAATACCCTTTGCTTCCCAGCCTCAAAATGGCAGCTTTCCTTACTCCTTAGCTGCCTGATATATACCCTTCTGAAGCTTGCATCTGGAATGTAAGTTGCATAAGAAATACCCTAAACAGGTTTGAGACCAGAGGAGAAAATGTCACTTTTAAATCCAAGCCACTGTGGGACAGAAATGTGCTGTTTTACAAGTTTTTCTTGAGAGCCTTTTCCTGAGGTCCAGCCTTTCCCTGAACCCCAAGCAAGGGCTCCCACGTTCTTTAAGTTCCTGGACTAACTCTGATCCAAAGTGCACTCCGGTGTGACATAGATATTACAATGTGCTCCTTTACTAGAGCAATCATGGGATGTGTGTCATTTTTTAAAAGTGTCTTTTTTGAGCTCATGGTTTTTCTGATGAATTGATTGACCTTTGGTCCTGCTCACCTGAATTAGTTTGTTTTGTTCTGATTTTTAAAATTTTGTCTTACTGTCATCTCCCCCTCCCCCATTTTCCTGCTGTCTTTATTCAGGGCCCAATTAATCAAGGGATAACTCTAAAATACACTATAAAAGAAAAGAGATCATCCCTTTCAAAGGGTCCTAAAAAGTAGCATAAATAGTGATGTTGGTTGTCATGGGTCTACCTCATGGATGGACACGTGGCCACCTGAACCATTGGCTCAGTGTGCATACATGGCTGGCGGACCCAGCTCCAACATCCCCAACTGTACAGTCCTCTTCAGGTCTATGTCCTCTATTCTATATTCTATTGTTCACTGTCACACAAAGGACATATGTGACAGGCACTATTTTAATTTCTAAAGGGTTAAATCTGATAGACAAGGTGTAATAAACATGTGTAGGTTTTTTATCTCCTATCTGAGAATATCTAATACATTGTAAAAAACTAAAATCTTTTTTTTCCTTTTTTTAAAGAGTGAGAGAGGAGAGAGAGAGAAAGAAATTTTAATATTTATTTTTTAGTTCTCGGCGGACACAACATCTTTGTTGGTATGTGGTGCTGAGGATCGAACCCGGGCTGCACGCATGCCAGGCGAGCGCGCTACCACTTGAGCCACATCCCCAGCCCCAAAAACTAAAATCTTTACTTCCAGGTGAGGGTTGTGACTCAGTGGTAGAGCTCTTGCTTCATATGCGAGAGGCCTCATAATGTCCATTGCAATAAAGCTTTTTTAATCCAGGAAAAAGATGGCTTGAGACATTAATTAGGCTTGTCTGATATCTTAGTTTTTATTGGAAACCTAAAGTTAACCTAAAGTTAAAAATGGGTAAACTAGATTTAATATAAATGGGGTAAACATTTATAAATGTATTTTTTAGAGGTGCCATCCGATTAATTTTCAAAGTTAAATACAAAACATCAACTGTTGAATATAAATTCAAGTAACTGATATTCAGAGATAGACTCAGGAAACTTTTATTTGTTCAAAGCTATTGTATACAAACTAAGTATGTTCTTGCTATTGTTAATTTCACTCTGTATTTTCCTTGTAAAACTTTATCACTTTTGCCTATTCGTGTTTTGCTGAAATTCTACTTCTTCTTCTTCTTCTTCTTTTTTTTTTTTTTTTTTAAAGATTTAAGATTTAGGGCTGGGACTGTAGCTCGGTGGTAGAGTGCCCACCTCACACATGTGAGGCACTGGGTTTGATCCTCAGCACCACATAAAAATAAAGATATTGTGTCCAACTATAATTTAAAAAAATATTAAAAAAAATAAAATTTAAGATTTAGTTATCTTTATTGTTTTCTTCAATTCTTTGTTATTCAAGTAGTACTTAACTTTTTTCAGACCATGTATAAGTTAAAAATAACACGAACTGTTCCAAGTTTTTTTTTTAAGTTTTTTTTGCTACTTTAGTATGCTTTATTTAACACTGAAAACATGATATCCAATGATAATTTAATAATATCAGTGTAAATTTTCTAGTTTATTTTTGCTAGTTTTTTAATGTTTTCTAGACTTTCAGTTAGTTTATATCGTAATAGTTGATTAAGCAGTTTAGAATGAAATGCTACTTCTAACAAAATGACCTGAATTAATTTGAGATAATAAGTCATAACCTATTGGGTATATAGAATATAATGCTGCTGACTTCCAGTACTAATACTGACACTAGTTACATGAAAGGGGTAACTGTACAATTACAGACACTCAAATTAATGTCTAATGTTAACCCATTACTCCCACTGCAAGGCTGGTGAAACTTGCCTGCTGGATGTTTAAAACCAAAAGTTGGAGACTAAATCTAAGGAAATAAAGGACTAAGGAATAGGCAAGGCAATGTTTTGGTTCTTGCCCTTTAAGGTCAACCAGGACCCAGGGACCTCTCAAAGGACCTCTCAAAGGACCCCACAACTCAGGTGAGTCATCTGACCTCCTAATCAGGGGGATTGTGAGGACCCTAGAGAACAGGAAGCCAACCAGTGCACATTCTGCAAAGGAGAGTCATTGGAGACAGAAATGTCACTGATGCTTCCAAGGGAAGACATGTGGTCAGCAAGTCCCTAATCCATCATAGTAGATGGCACAACTAGTAGAGAAAAAGCTGAAGGAGCTGAGAGGCTTTTCACAAGTTCCCAAGAGTGTCCCTTGAGGAGTCTCAACTGATCCTAATGTTAGATAAGAACAAGGTCTATTTTATTTTGTTTTTTAAAAATTTAGTTGTACATGGACATAAAACCTTTATTTTATTTATTCATTCATTTTTTTTTTTTTAATTTGGTGCTGAGGATCAAACCCAGTGCCTCATGTGTGCTAGGCAAGCACTCTACAACTGAGCCATAACCCCAGCCCCTTATTTCATTTTTTGGTATCAGGGATTAAACTCAGGGGCACTCAACCACTCAGCTACACCCCCAGCCCTATTTTGTATTTTATTTACAGACAGGGTCTCTCTGAGTTGCTTTATACCTTGCCATTACTGATGTTGGCTTTGAATTCAGGATTCTCCTGTTTCAGCCTCTCAAGCTGCTGGAATTACAGACATACACCACAATGCTTGGCAAGAGTAAGGTCTATTTTTGACCAATGTGGTCTTTTTTTTTTTTTTTTTTTAAGAGAGAGTGAGAGAGAGGAGAGAGAGAGAGAGAGAGAAATTTTAATATTTATTTTTTAGTTCTCGGCGGACACAACATCTTTGTTGGTATGTGGTGCTGGGGATCGAACCCAGGCCGCACGCATGCCAGACGAGCGCGCTACCGCCTGAGCCACATCCCCAGCCCCCAACGTGGTCTTAAACACCTGACAGGAAAGTATAACCAAAGCACAGTCATACATGGACATTTAAAAGGAAAAAAAAAACAATGTTTCTTTTAATATAACATGAAACATACACTTGTGTCAATTCTCTCAAAAGTAAGTAAAATGGGGAGGTTATAAAGAAAGTATTCTTGTGTGGGAGAGCCTAATAACTCCCACCAAGGACTCTGATAGTCACAAGTTTGTCCTGCGGCCATTTGAGTCAAATTTCACAAACTGACCAATCTTCCTCACTTCCTACATAGATGGATTTGATTTGTATTTTTTTTTTTTTTTGCTGGAATGATTATCTAGCCCTAAACATAGATATAACCACTAATAATCAACCTCTAACCATTTGTAAGGGCATCCATTAGAGTCACATGGGTTATATAACCAATTCCTCTCTTGGTGGGATTGGTGTGGCCACAGAGTTAGGAGGAATACCCATATCCCTCTCTTATCTTCAGGGTTTGTCTGAAGATCTGTTAGTCTAGAGGAAATATCAAAAGGGATAATTACCTTCCAGAATCAGGTAGACTCATTAGCAGCAGTCACTCCCCAAAATTGGAGAAGATAAGATTAACCACTGAAAAGAGAGGACTATGTCTCTTCCTGGAGGAAAAAAGCTATCTTCACGTAAACCAATCTGAGATGGTTAAAGATGCAACAAAGAAATTAGCAGACCATTCTTGAGGATTCAGCAGCAGCAGCTCTCAGAGTCATATGGGATAATGGTCAAAATTTGGAACTGGATGCCTTGGTTACTATGCTCGGTGGGATCCCTTCTGATGCTCCTTCTGTCTTTGTGATTAGGACCCTGCCTAATAAATGTACTAATAAAGTTTATCTTTTCTCATCTAGAGGCCATCAAACTCCAGCTGGTCCTATAGCAGGACTTCAAACCCACTGCACCATTGGACCAGAGTGCCTTGACCAGGTAGTGTGAGAGTTTTGTGACCCCCGACAGCCCCTGGCCAGCCTGAAGAACATCCGGTGGCAAGGAGAGAGTACAAGAAAAATGCCAGCTGGACTACAAGACAAGGAGATGAGTCATCATGTCCCTGTTTATGATAAGCCCCACTACCATGGCAACGCCCACCATGGAGGGCTTATCACCATAGCAACTCCCAACACAAGTTCTGAATTCTAATTAGGTGAGAATAAAGTAACCAAATGAAAACAAATAGGGCAAGATCTCCCATCAGGTCTGTGAGGAGAACAATGTATATTTTCACTTTCAATAATTCCAAGCTCTGCCTGTTACTTCTGCATGTCTTGCTCAGTTCTTTGTTGGGGATCCCAACTGGACACCTCATCAGTGTCAGTCGAACTCCCCTAGGTTCAATTCCCAGCTCCATGAAACAAAACAAAATGTCCTGAAGAAAACAAGCAGGGTGGCTCAGCCCTGTCATCCCAGTGACTCAGGAAGCTGAGGCAGGTGAATTGCAGGTTTAGGCCATTCTTTGCAACATAGCAAGACAGCAAAAATCTTGTCTTAAATAAAAAGTAAAAAGGGCTGGGGATGCAGCCCAGTGGTGAAGTACCCCTGGGTTCAATCCCCAGTTTAAAAAAAAAAAAAAATCCCTTTTCTGTTGACTATCAAATAATCCCTTTTTCAGTAAAAAAGATTTTTACATTTAGTTGAAGCAAAGTAGATTTTTGACATCAGACACAGAAATAAGATCCATTTAACAGCTTGGAAGGATAAGGAGGAATGAATCACATTGCTGATTAGAGAATCATATATACTCCCTGGGGGCAGTGGCCCACGTCTATAATCCCAGCAGTTCAGGAGGTTGAGGCAGCAAGATTACAAGTTCAAAGCCAGCCTCAGCAATTTAGGCCCTAAGAAACTTAGCAAGACCCTGTCTCAAATACAAAAAAGAGCTGGGGATGTAGCTCAGTGGTTAAGTGACCCTGGGTTCAATTCCCGGTACCAAAAAGAAAAAGGAAAAAAACAAACCAAAAGAAAACTCCACCAAAATATATACATTTTAATAAATATCTTTATATTACTCATGGATATAGAAGGCATCAAACATTGTATTTTAAATATTTAGAGACAAACATCTCAATTGGTTACCAGACCGGGAAAAAAATGTTACCAAATTTTAAAGATATACTTACTAACATCAAGTTCAGATTAACTTATTTGTCATAGTTATACTAAAGTCACATGAATCAGAAGGCATTTGGGCTAATTTAACAGATTTTAAGTTATGTGCTTACTTATCTATAAGCTAATTTGATACTGAGCAAACAAATAAACAAGATATAAGCATATAAACACATAGGTACACACAAAAAATCTCAAAGCTTAGATTTATCATTTGATAGTTTTTTTTGGGGGGGGGGCATGGTACTGGGGATTGAAACCAGAGGTGCTTTATCACTGAGCTATAGCCTCAGCCCTTTTTATTTTTTATTTAAGACAAGGTTTCACAAAGTTGCTTAGGGTCTCCGTAAATTGCTGAGGTTGTCCTTGAATTTGAGATCCTCCTGCCTCAGCCTTCCTAGTCACTGAGATTATAGGCATGTGCCACCCACCATACCCAGCTCATTAGATAGTTTTAAAAGCCATACTGTGGGCTGGGGGTATAGCTCAGTGGAAGAGTGTTTGCCTAGCATGTATGAGGCACTGGGTCGATCCTCAGCACCACATAAAAATAAATACATAAATACAGGTATTGTGTTCATCTACTACTAAAAATATTTTTTAAATAAATAAATAATTAAAAGCCATACTGTAAGCCAGGCACAGTACATGCCTAGAATCCCAGCAGTTTGAGAGGCTGATTAACAGGAGGATCATGAGTTCAAAGCTAGCCTCAGCAATGGTGAGGCACTAAGCAACTCAGTGAGACCCTGTCTCTAATAAAGTACAAAATAGGGGTGGGGATGTGGCTCAGTGGTCGAGTGTCCCTGAGTTCAATCTCCAGTACCCCTCACCCAACAGCCATACTGTATGATGCCAGGAGCCATGGCACATGCCTGCAATCCAAGCGACTCGGGGAGGTGGAAGGTGGGCTGAGGCAGGAGGATCACAAGTTCAAAAGCTAGCCTCAGCAATTTAGCAAGTTCAAAAACAACTTAGGGAGACCTTGCCCCCAAATAAAAAAGGGCTGGGGATGTAGCTCAGTGGTTAAGCACCCCTGGGTTCAATACACAATACCAAAAAAAAAAAAATTAAAGATAAAAATAAAAGCCATACTGTTATCTGACATAGCTTTAAGCAGTCTGTAAATCTTAAATTTGCTTCAGTTGAGGCCAGATAGAACATTTATGTCACAGAGACTCAGGCTAGCAAACCTTGAACACTTTTTCTTTCTTTTTTTTTTTTTAAGAGAGACTCAAAAACTTTAAAGAAGACAAAACAAAACAAAAGTATATAATTTAATTGTGCAAAATCAAAAAGTGAATTCATCAGAAGGAAAGTCTATGAGCTCAAAACAAAGTAATCACAGATAAATTTTGTTCATATTTTTGATAGAAGCTCATCTGATGGCTGAAGTCATGCTTGGGAAATGTAATTCCCTATCTTACGCAGATAAATCCATTGTTATAGTTATCAGAATTTAGCCTGTTAATCCAACTGTCAGATTAACAAACATATAAAACAGTTGTATTAAATCAGTGTGCACTTTTAGATGTATAGGACATGTTATAATGTTTTCTTTCCAACTGAACTCAAACTCAAAATGAGTTTCCAAACAAACCATCACAATTGTTGGGATTTTTTACCCTTTGAATGCCCTCATTGATTGGTAGCCTGAAACCAAATGGATTATTTAAATCCCAAGTGGCAGAGGGAGCTTCTTACTTCATATTAACTGGTACCACAAAATGGTCCACACAAGGTCCCAAAACCTCAGAGATAAAATTTTCAGAGTGTATCCTTATGTGACATCCACCAGGGGACTCCTCCGTTCCTTTGCTAATAAAGCATTTTTAGGTAGTTGAGGCTGCAGCAGGAAGGAAGGGAAAATTCCTTGGGATTTAAAATGTCTCTGGGCAGCTGCTGGGATTTTTTTTGCTGAAAAAAAAAAAAAAAAAACCTTTCCTCTAGAGATTGCTGCGGCTTGAGCCATGTTATTCAAGCACAGGGTCCTTGCTCCTGGCTCCTCAAAACTCTTACTGTGGGGGACAGGCCTTACTGCTCATTGCTCCATTAAAAACTCTGGAGACAAGCTGGCAAGGAAAGAGGTTTATTGAAAGCCAGCTTTGAGGAAGCTGGATGAGAACCTTCTGTCTCAAATCTCCATCTCTGGGGGACTCCTGGGCATGCTAAGTTCTTAGAAGAGGAGGACTAGAGTGCAGTGGCGCATCCTGGTAACCCCAGGGATTTGGGAGGCCAAGGCAGGAAGAGTGCAAATTTGAGGCCAGCCTCAGCAATTTAGTGAGATCCTGCCCCAAAATGAAAAATAAAAAAAGGTCTGGGAAAGTAACTCAGGGGCAAAACACCCTGGGGTTCCATCCCTAATTAAAAGGGGGGGGCAGGGAGGGAGAGAAGAGGAAAGAAGAGGAGAGAAAAGAGAATGGGAGGCCCCAGTGGAACAAAAGACAGAAAATACACATATGTAGATTCAGTTAGCCAGACAACAGGCCAGTCTCTGCTTCCTTGGTGTCTCTATCCTCTGCAGAAGTTTTTCTTCTTATTATTATATTTTATTCTTTTAATTACAAAGGGGGTCTCTTTTGATCCACCATTCATCCTCACTCTTAATGAGTCCATGTTCTTGCCCCTATACTATAGGTTGGGTTGTTAAGGGTGTCAGAGTCTCCCTTAAGCAGCTGTCAGGAGAGCTGAGGGCAGAGGCCAGGAGCAGCCAGGTTAAGGTGGGAAAGCCTGAGGTGGAGAGGGAATAGGGAAGAGTCACATCGTTCCTGAGAGCTGAAGTGGGAATCCACTGGAGACACTGGAAGGGAGGCAGATGGCAGAGCATCAGAGGGAGCTGAGTAAAGTCAATACTAAGAAACAGCAATTTTTTGGTTTCTGGGTTTAGTTTTGTTTGTTTTTGTTTTTACAGTGCTGGAAATTGAACCCAGAGTCTTGCACATGCCAGGCAAGTGCCATATCACTGAGCTACATCCCCAGCCCAAGAAAGGCAGTTTTGAGACATTCTTAGCATTCTAGACTTGTGCCTTCTGGCCAGCCCAACACTGGCCTCCTCAAGTTCTCAGGACATTTGTCATTCATATCACTCCTCCTGCAAGCTCCTAAAACTGCTAGAGGGCTTCCTCCACCCCTGGGAGGGCAGGCTAAGACTACTGAGGAATCCATACTTTGGGGTGGCCCTCAAGCAGATGGATTTGTCACATAAATACCCCAGCTTCCATGTAGGCAGGATGATTCTGAAGCATGCTCTATGCCATTTTTTGGAGGGGCCCCAGTGGGTTGGAACCCCCTGCTGCCAACAGGGGCTCATTCATGCACTTGTGTGGGCTTCTGCCCTTTCTCTGCCTCTATCTCACGCATCCATCAACAGTACCTGAGATTCCCTCTCAAATTACCTTCTTGACTTAAAATCCCTGTCTTCTGATCTGCTTCAGAAGGAACCCAAAGCAAGACAAGCTCCTTGGCCACATGTATAACCTCTGAACTCCCTAGAATAATGTTTTACGTGTACAGTCATGAGTGAGCTCCATAATGATGTTAGAAGAACAATGGGCTGAATACAATGTTGTTTCCCAAGATGATAATGAAGCTGAAAAGTTCCTCTTGCTTGGTGGCCTAGTGACGCTGTAGCCTACACTCCCAGCACAATGCATTACTCACCTGTTCGTGGTGATGCTGGTGTGAAGAAACCTACTGCACATACAATTATAAACAGCACATAATACTTGATAATAAATGACTATGTTATTGTTTCATTTATTTATTATACTTTTTACAATTATTTTATTTTATTAGGGTTTTATAGTTGGGTTCATCTTTTACCATTATTTAAAAATGCACTCCTACTTATAGCACCAGCAGCCTCATACGTCTCCTGTTTGCCGCATCTCTTGATGGCTTCCAGAGGCCATGTCAAGTGATTGGCCTA